CATTAATCTGATTGAAATAATACTACATTCTGAAGACATTTGAGATTGGAAATGAAGATAGAGCAATAGAAATTATACAGCCTGAACTGTAGAAAGAAAAAGTATGGAAATATCAAATTCTTACCATCATATCTACATTACAGTAAATTGTGCCTAAACATTCTGAATTAGTTGGAGATAATTTTGTGGCAAGTATAGAAATCCATTCAAACTAACCTGAAACAAAACAAAATGTGTGTGTGCATGGGTTATTGTTAGAATGTTATAGAAGTCCCTTGTATTAGTCCATTTTTACGTTGCTAATAAAGACATATCTGAGACTGGGTAATTTATAAAGAAACAGAGGTTTAATGGACTCACAGTTACACATGGCTGGAGAGACCTCACAATTATGGTGGAAGGACAAGGGATGTCTTACATGGGGGCAGGCAAGAGAGAGCTTGTGCAGGGAAACTCCCCTTTATAAAACTATCAGAGCTCATGAGGCTTATTCACCATCATGAGAACAGCATGGGAAAGACCCCCCCGATTCAATTACCTCCCACAGCGTCCCTCCCACGACACATGGGAATTGTGGGAGCTACAATTCAAGATGAGATTTGGACAGGGACACAGCCAAACCATACCATCCCTTGAGGAATGCAAGGGCAGGGAGCTGCAGTCAATGGCTAACTGGCCTGGAGACTGCACACATATAAAGACCTGGTCCTCTTGCTCTAATTTGAGACAACTGAGAAGGTACATCCTAGCTCAGTGGTCTCAAGTTGGAGTAGCTACCAGGTTGCCTGAGGCTTTTATTGGAATTTTATCACAGCTCAGTGCCTCCTTCCACCCAATCCTGTTTCCATTTTCTCCTTCCCAGGTGGTGACCTCAAGAGGATTCCTTAATTAACGTCTGTACAGTAACTTCTCAGAGTTTGGTTATCAGGTAGGTGGAACACCGCACCTCCCTATCTTCCTCTCACTATCCCTCCCCCCAACCCCCTCTTTCCTTTTGCTCTCCCTTGTTCCCTTCTTTCCTCCCTTTTGTTCTCACCCTTTTTCTCTCTCCTTTCCTCTCTCTATTCTCTCTCTTGCTCTCCCTCAAACCACGGAGTTTCTCACCTCTGCTTCTTTCTGAACTCACATGTCATTCTCTTCTCACTTTCTGACCAGTCTCCTCAGCTCTTCTGGCTCATGGACAGTCATGGCTGCTCCCAAATGGTGTCTTCAGCTCCCCAGTCACCATCACTGTGGTATACGCTGTTGGTCTCTCACCCCAATGCCCTTTACTGGGCTGATGTCCTCATCTTGCAGCTGCTGTGGGTATCAGTTAATAACAGCTCATATGTGTACCCTTCTCTGGAGGGCTGTCCTTCACCAACTGGAACCTTCTCTGCTGGAGATGCCCAAAAGGTTTTGCCCCACACTTCTTGGCCGATGACTGTCAGATGGGTGGGGGCGTGCAAAAGTCCATCCTCCTTGTCTCAAGGAAGGACACACTGTGGTACAATTTACACCCTGGAGAGCCCCTAGGATCAGGGCAGGCTGCCTTTTCCTGTCTCTGCTTAGCATCTTCCCCTGCCCTAGCTGCTCCTCTCACTCCCTTCAGGTGTAGCCTGAGGGCACTCCCTCAATCAATCCCCGTGCCTCTAAGGAGACTGATTTAGGATCATCTCCTTACAGATCCTGTGCCTGTGGCAAACAGGCTCAGCCTCTGCTGTCCTAATTCCAAATATCCAGGAGAGAGAACTCTCTTAAAGTTCTTTCTCTTTGAACTCTCATTCAAAGATCAGTCCTCCCTATGTGAAGCTTGGCTCAGGCTGAGCTCAGCCCAGCTTCTAGATTGAACACCTGGAGTTCATTTCAGGTGAACATTGGGAATGCATTACAGGTGCAACCTTCTGTGGCTGCAGAGGGGACAGAGTTTAATAGTATAGGGTAGATGAAGGGTACAGGGGGAGGGGACAACTCTCAGAAAAGGCTAGTCAATTCCTGCAAAGGTGAACCCTACCCACATCCTCCTCCTCAGTCTTTCTTGAATTAATTTTCTTGGTCTTCTCTTTACCCCTCATCAATTTCCTCATCTATATCCCAAGTTCTAATCAGAGAGTGAATTTGTGAAAAGTAGCACCACATGATGGAGAAAGCACTGGGCTGAGTATCAGGATGGAAGATGGTCCTAATTCAGCCAACTCGCTTCACTTACACCTCTTTAAGGTAAATTAGACAGTCAGTTGGCTAGCTTCATTAGTCAGTGCTTTTCTGAAAACAAGGACTGGCTGGGTATTGTGGCTCACGCCTGTAATCCCAGCACTTTGGGAGGCTAGGGTGGGAGGATTTCTTGAGACCAGGAGTTTGAGACCAACCTGGACAACATAGCAAGATCCTGTCTCTAAAAAAAAAAAATTTTTTTTTAAAGACGGGGTTTCACCATGTTAGTCAGGCTGGTCTTGAACTCCCGACCCCAGGTGATCTGCCCACCTTGGCCTCCAAAGTGCTTGGATTATAGGCATGAGCCACCACAAAAAAATTTTAAAAGTTAGCTGAGCATGGTGGTCGATGCCTGCAATCTCAGTTATGCAAGAGGACCACTTAGCCCAGGAGTTTAAGGCTGCAGTGAGCTATGATTGTACCATGACATTATAGCCTGGGCAACACAGCAGAACCCTAAAAATAAAAAATGAAAACAAATAGGGCAGAATCTGGGTCTCTTGATCTCTGCATTCCTGAACTCGGCACAATGCCTGGCACAAAGTAAGAACACTGATACTGTATTTTTTTTTTTTTTCTTTTTCTTTGGGACAGAGTTTCGCTCTTGTTGCCCAGGCTGGAGTGCAATGGCGCGATCTCGGCTCACCGCAACCTCCGCCTCCTGGGTTCAGGCAATTCTCCTGCCTCAGCCTCCTGAGTAGCTGGGATTACAGGCACGTGCCACCATGCCCAGCTAATTTTTTGTATTTTTTTAGTAGAGACGGGGTTTCACCGTGTTGACCAGGATGGTCTCGATCTCTTGACCTCGTGATTCACCCGCCTCGGCCTCCCAAAGTGCTGGGATTACAGGCTTGAGCCACCGCGCCTGGCCGATACTGTATTTTTAAAAAGGAGCTATTCTCAGCTGGGCATGATGGCTCACACTTGTAATCCCAGCACTTTGGGAGGCCAAGGCAGTGGATCAACTGAGGTCAGGGGTTCGAGACCAGCCTGACCAACATGGTGAAATCCCATCTCTGCTAAACACACACACACACACACACACACACACACACACACACACACACAAGCTGGGTGTGGCAGCAGACACCTGCAATCCCAGCTACTTGGGAGGCTGAGGCAGGAGAATTGCTTGAACTTGGGAGGCGGAGGTTGCAGTGAGCTGAGATGGCGCCACTTCACTCCGGTCTGTGTTACACAGCAAGACTCCATCTCAAAACTAAAATAATAATTTTTTTTTTAAAAAGGAGCTATTCTCCAAAAAATGAAATGATGGTGAATTACATTAAGTAATAAGGTAGAGCATGACCCCAAAGTACGCAATCTTCTGAGTGTGGTGCCTGTTAACAATAACTATCACTTGGTAAGTGCTCAGCTGTGCCAGCCCCACAGTAAGTGCTCAGCTGTGCTGTTGTATAACAAATCACCCCCATATGTAGCCATTTAAAACAATGTAAGCCATTTTATTATGTTCATAGAGTCCATGGGTCAGGCATTTGGACAGGACACAGTGGGGATGGCTTGTCTCCGCTCTGCAATGTCTGTGGCGTCTGCTGGGAAGAGCTGAAGTCTGGTAGTGATTGACAGCTGGGGCTGGGATCACCCAGAGGCATCTTCACTCACAGAACCGGTGGCTGAGGTCGGCCGTGGCTGGGTCTCTTGACCAAAGCACCTACAGGTGGTTTCTCCATGGGACCTGGGCTTCATCCCAGAACAGTAGCCTCAGGCTAGCAGGACTTTTGAAGGTGGCTGCTCACGGCTCCAAAATCAAGTGTCCCAGTTTACAAGGTAAGAGAGAAGCTTCATTATTTTTATGCTCTAGCCTCAGAAATCAACTATATTATTCCCACCACATTCTATGACAAGCAAGTCAAACTCATTCAAGTTAAAGAATTGGTGAACTAGGTACTGCCTCTCAATGGGATGCAGGCAAGGCTCTCACAGAGCACATGGGATGGGAGATATTGTTGTGGCCATATTTGGGCACTAAAGTCTGCGGTGCATATATTATCTCATTTAATCCTTCCATCATCTTTAGAAGTAGGTATTATTGCCCCTGTTTACAGGGAAAGAAACTAAGGCTCAGAGGGGCTAAGCAACTGGCCTGTGGACAAAGCCAGTATATGGCAGAGCTGGAGTTCAACCTAGTCTGTACAGAGCAAGTGTTCTCCAATAGCATATGATGCTGCTTACAGGAAAAGGGAACTGAAAAAAAGAACACATTCAAAGCCCAGTTCGGGAGTGAGGTATTCTCTCCCATCATCCTGATGTCAGAATTAGCATCTTCCCCATATGGGTAAAGGAATCTGGTTCTGGTGCATAACTCCCCAGGGAGTTGCTTCCCAGAAACCATGCAAGTATGTGTGTGCCTTTGATGCCCCAAGTCTTCTAGATATGCACTGTATGCCAAGGGCTGCTGGCTGCCCTCCCCAACCCCACTTATATGGCAAAAGAGTCTGGGAAACGATGAGCAGGAGCAAGCTCTGACCCCCTCCATGAAGGCAGCACGCAGAACCAGCTCGTGCCAGGAATATCTTCTTTGCCATGATCCCCCTTTGAAATTACATCTTCTCTTTAAGTGCAAACAGGAACCTAGACTTCCAGAAAGTCATCGTGATACTCCCAGGATACTTATAATCTGGAATGTTTAGAAGATACTTGGCACTCGCTGCTTGCTCTGCAGGTTTTTGTGTTCTAACCCCCCCAGTTAGTCTTCTAAGGCCCCAGAGGGCAAGGTCCATGCCCTATTCTTCCAAAATCCCCCACCCCTGCTGAACAGTACCCCATTCTTAATAGGTAGGCAATAATTAGGTCAAAAGGCCTCAGAAAGTTTATTATGATATTATAACAGGAGGACACATGCTTCTTTAAAAGCATTTTTGGAGAGTCTGCTATATCACAGGCATTGTGCTAATGACCCATGTGATCTAGAAGCAGAAATTTAGAAAATCAAATATGAGCCTTTTGGGCACTCTACAGCAGGTAAATAACAAATTAAAATTGGTATCTAGAAGCGAAACATCCTTAATCAGATTAAGAGGGCTTCATGACAGGTGCATTTGAGGCAAATGCTATAAGGTTACAATCTCTATCAGCTGTCAGATGTTTAGAAAGACACTGAATAGAGTTTTGAAATCCTAATTCTTGATTTTACTTTCTCCTAGAAGTTGTCTGAGTGATGATTTTAGCTGGGGCTATCAGTCAGGAAAGGCTGGGTCTTCCTATCCTTAATTTCAAACCAGTCTTCCTGCAGTAGGCAAATTTCTCCACCTTTCTTTTAATTTGTCACCTTTTCACCTCAAATTGTTCCTAAAGGCCATGACCTTTGAAAATACCTTTGAGTGTTCAAAATCAGCCACAGATAAACCTAGTCATAAATTATGGATAATGAATATCAGATTACCCATAATTTTATCTTCACTCATTCTTCATACCGTAAATCCTTGACCAAATACACTGCTATTATATAAAACTATTTCTTCAACATACCATCAAGAAGAATAAAACAACTCCTGTAAATAATTACCTTTGGGATATGAAAGAAAATGTAAACATTTTATTTGGCAGTTGTTTCTGAACACATGAATAAATAAATGGAAAAGTACATATTAATATTTCTTTTTGGAGTAACAGATACCATTAAACGCTTATTTACACATCTTCACTGCAAAGAACAGTTACACAATTAAATTTTGTCTTATAAAAGGTAACTTCCCACATCACTGGACTGGACAGTTAAGGATGGAGATACTGGTAGTGCTTGGTTCTAGCAGTCTCAATGTTTGAAAGGCATTCATTTGCAAGTGTGATAAGAAGAGTCATCATGCATTGAGTTCATCCGGGTCATGTACTGTAGAAAGTTTCTGATGGCAGCCACAGAATTTGGTGTCTCATGCGCTTAAGTCAACTATGACATGTTTGTAAATCTGTGTATTTCCCTTAAAACTGGAAGCAAAAAGAAAATTACGCTTATTAATGGACACATGCGTGAATGATCTTGGTGCCTGAACATTTAGTTCCTGAAATTTCACAAATGTGGCTTTCTCTGAATCCCAGTTAAACACTTGAGTAAAGGAGTAATCACTTCCAAGAATTGCATATTGGTAATTATTTATCTGAAGAGGCTGGAACACCATGGATCCTCGCGACGGTATCCTCTGAATATCCTGGAATGAGGAGCCTCCCCATTTCATGACTTTGGAATCACCAATGAATCTTGTCAAGCAAATGTACACGTCCCCTTTCACTGAGAAGTGCTTCACTGCGTACACATCCTCCATGTTAGGAATGTCAGTTTGGTTAGTGAATAATTGTGTTGCTTTGTTCCACTGATAAATTACAGGACGCTGGGAACTACTAGACAGAATTAAATGAGGCGTTCTGAGTGTCTGAGGTGTTCTGACTATTTCCAGATATTCCACATCAGTGTCCCTGTACCACGCGTGTAAGGATTGATGGGAGTAGAATCCGTTTCCATTCCATTTGTAAATGGTAGTAAAACCAGCTTTTGAACTGTCAGCCACAACAAAGTACCAGTTGTTTTCAATCTTGAATGTTTCAATGTCATTGGGTTTTCGGATTTTGAGAATTTCAATATCCTGGATTTTAATGAATTTATTTGCAAAACTGTCTCGCTTATAGATGTGAGAGCCACCAAACAGCTGGGCCACGATAACATAGAGCTGAGTTTCAATGACTATAGGCTTGCATACTACAGTGGATGTGCCTGGGAAAAGACGAAGGAGAGATTAGTTGTGTGGCCATCTTCTTTCGGAGCATGTAAACATACAGGATGGCTGAGGCCATACAACTTCCACCCAAATCAGCCTGAAACAAGAGATCTCCTTGGTTGATTAGGCAAGGCTCATCTCCAAAGCCCAATGGCAGCAGTGTCCTGAAGTTCTGTGCCTTTGTGCCTCGTAGGCCTTGTTACCAACAATTGAGTCGTTAACGTCACATCCAGCCTGCTCTACATGTTCAGGACACACAGGTGCGGCCTGAGTGTTCTCCTCTCATATCTTGCAGAAAGCAAGCATTACTTTCCCTGACACATTATGAGTTAATAATAGTTCTAATGAAAACTGTTTACTGAGCATCTACTATATGCTTTCTCAATTCACCTCATTCATTTTCCCAACAATCTCAAGAGATAACTATTATCCTTTTTGCACATGAGTAAACTGAAGCTCAGAGAGGATGTTCTGCTAGCAGAAGGCAGAGTTGGAGATTCAAAGCCAGGCTACTGGTGTCTCTATGCTTTTACCCGAAGCTGGGGAGAAGTTAGCTATTATTCCAGGACTTCAAATTGGGGCTAAGATCTTAGATAACCAAAGGCTAGAGTTGTGGTCTGGGGAGCCTGTGGCTCTACCTGTAATTATGTTGCTCTAAGTCTGAACTGCTTCCTGCTCTAGAATAACTCGCCTTTCCTCTGTAAAGAAAGATGTCACTGGTCACTTTTTTGGAGCTTTAGGTCTTTGGTGGCAGGAGTGAAAGAGAAGGAAGAGGAATCTTTGCAAAAATAGAAAGAGGGGTACAGCCGTGGGCGATGCTCCTGAAAGTTATTTTGGGAAATCACAGAAAATGATGTAGGATCTGTCTGTGGCCTAGCTTGGTATTCTTTGGTGAAGAGTCTGACATTTATCAGTAGATTCTGATCTCACAGAAGGAGTTGGCTCTAGGGAATCCAGAGACAGCTGGGCAAATCTGGGCTTTAGGCCTCTTCTGATTACAGCTTTAGTATGGGGCAGAAAGTTCTACATTAACTATTTCTATTAATTGGCTTCATCCATAGGCAAAATTATTTTACTTGTGACTCTTTTCAGGGAAACTGATTTATGATCTTAAGAAAATCACTCAACTTCTCTGCGGTTCAGTTTTCTTTTCTGTACAATGAGACATTAGATTAAGGATGGCTATCAGATTCCAACATGTATACCAATATTGATTAGCTCATTGAATGTGATTGCCTGGAGAACCGTGTTGAGAAGTATTCTGTGGCCATGTCTGTATTCTGCATGAAAGATTACCATGATAGATTAGTGATGCCTGTCTAGAGTGAAAGAAGGGATAAAGACTGAGTATGGGACACATATTTGTCATCTGCTATGGTTGGAATGTTTGTGTTCCTCCAAATTTATGTTGAAGCTTAATCCCCAATGTAATAGTATTAAGAAGTGGGGTGTCTAGGAGGTGATTAGATTGTGAGGACTCCACATTCAAGAATGGAATTAGTACCCCTACAAAAGGGCTTGAGGGAGTCTGTGATCTTTTTTTGCCCTTCTGCCATGTTAGGACACAGAGACAACACCGTCTTTGAAGCAGAGAGTTAACCCTCACCAGACCTAAGTTTGCTGGTGCCTTGATCATGGAGTTCCCAGCCTCCAGAACTATGAGAAATACATTTCTGTGGTTATAAATTATCCAGTCAAGGTATTTTTGTTACAGCAGCAGGGACTAAGACATCAATCTAGACAAGCTGAGCTTTGAGGTGTCCTCTGAAACTTTGTAGATGTATGATTTATTTCTCTTGTAAGTGCTCATCTAAACAGTCATTCAAAGAAACTATGCACCATACGCAAGTAAGAAGAGCCTGGTTTCAACTGCATAAAACCCGGCTATTGTCCACTGGAAAACTTATGGGGGCTTAGGGACAAATGGAAGCATGACCTTCTTCCTTCAGAAAAAAAGGATTCTAAAAGGGTCTCAGTTTGGAAGGGATCCCTTTATTTAAGCAACCGCAGCCTTAAGCAAGCCTCAGACCTGTCTTAGTCCTTTGAGCAGTGAGGCTGAAAGCCACCAGCAAAATCTATTATGACTCTCCATGCCTTGTCTACGGTGTTACCTTTTATGGGGAGATATGAGTGCTCTTAAGAGCAGATTTAAAGGTATTAGAAACTAAAGCTGATATAAAAATTGTAGAGGGGTCCCTATGTTCTAATTTATGACTTAGAATTTTAAAAATTATTAAAATGAGAAAGAAACTTAAGAGATCAGCTAAGTATGGCCAGGCAAAGTAGTTCACGCCTGTAATCCCAGCAATTTGGAGGCCAAGGTGGGTGGATCACTTGAAGCCAGGAGTTCAAAACCAGCCTCGCCAACATGGTGAAACCCTGTCTCTACTAAAAATACAAAAATTAGCAGGATGTGGTGGCACACGCCTGTAGTCCTAGCTACTCAGGGGGGTGAAGTACAAGAATTACTTGAACCCAGGAGGCTGAGGTTACAGTCAGTGATCCCAGATCATGCCACTGCATTCCAGCCTGGGTAACCGAACAAAACTCTGTTTCAAAGAAAAAGAAAAAGAAAAAAAGAGATCAGCTAAGTATAAGTTTTCATAGAAAGAGTTAGATTCCGGCGGGGTATGGTGGCTCACGCCTGTAATCCCGGCACTTTGGGAGGCCGAGGTGGGTGGATCACAAGGTCAGGAGTTCCTGACCAGCCTGGCCAACATAGTAAAACCCCGTCTCTACTAAAAATACAAAAATTAGCTGAGCATGATGGCAAGTGCCTGTAGTCACAGCTGCTTGGGAGGCTGAGGCAGAAGAATCGCTTGAACCTGGGAGGTGGAGGTTGCAGTGAGCCGAGACTGTGCCACTGCACTCCAGCCTGGGCGACAGGGTGAGACTCCATCTCAAAAAAAAAAAAAAAAAATCAGATTCTATGGCCAAGTTAAGAGTGAAAAATATTGGAAAATCTTCCTCACTTCAGGACTTCTCAGAGCCACAGATGTATGTACTATGAATCTCCAAAAGGCAGATATGGTTCACAAATTTATTAGACCACAAAATCCTTTTGATTATAAGGCATACGTTAACATTTTGTAGAAGAAATGTTTGTGTAACAAAGTTTGAGACTTGTTGACCTAAAATAACCTTCTTATTTTATAGTTAAGAAAAAGGGCGGGGGGTGTCAGTGAATATAATCAGCTTGTCTAAATAGGCTGTGGCAGAACCTGGACTAGAACTCATGATTCATAATCCAATACTTTAAAGAAAAATAATCAAATTTTTACTGTGTGTGTATTATACTAGGCCCTATGCTAAGTTTCATGAATATATGTTCACATTATCTTATTAACAACCCTGTGAATTAAGTATTATTCACAGGGAATACTTGTGAGGAAATTATAGCTTAGAGAACTATCCCAGGTCATTTAGCAAATGGTAGAGTTGGAATTCAAATGACTTAAGGCCTGCTAAATCATTCCCATATACCACTCATCCTTCCTTGTTGCCTTTGGCTGAAGCAGTTTAACTTCCCACTCAAAATATTATTAGGCTTTTCATACCTGTAATGTTATCATAATTCCGGAAGGTCTTTTCCACATGGTCCCATTCAAGGAAGATGCATTTTCCAGTAAAAGGCTGAGCGATGACTACATACTCATCGTTCAAATAAGAAAAAGTATCTATGGACAATGATTGATAAGGCAGGTCTTGAGATTTTGCAAATTCTGCAAAAATAGGAAACGATAAATAACTGTGAGCTAATACCTCTTTCCTTGGCTAGATCTCAAATATTCATAAGAAATACAATTATTTCAGAAAATAGTAAAATGGCCATTTTACTTTTCATTTAAACACATGAAGTGTTGTCAATGGTTCATAATTTTTTAAAAATTAAATTGCTCAGCTAGTTTTTAAGATGTAAAAAATATCAGTTCCTGCACATGAGGAAAAATGTAGCCCTTATTTTAATTTTATGAGGTGGAATGATGATGAGTACATTACCTGTAATGATGCAATCGAAGTCCTTGGAGGAGAGACTATTGATTTTGCGCTTCTTGTATTCTGGGGGGCCTTCACAGTAGATGTCTTCAACAGTTGCATTGGTGTGGCCAAGCCATTCCACCAGCCATTTCAGTTTACAGTCACAATTAAATGAATTCCCCCTCAGGTCCCTGAAAGACAAACTTCAGCTGCTTTTGCTGTACAAGGGCCATACCCACACAGGTAAGAGTTATAAATCAACAGTTAACATGTGCAGAATGACCTTACCTGGCTTTACATCCTGCCCTATAACCTGCCTGGAACCTGACTGACTGCTCACTTTGGGGTCAGAGAGTTAGCACCATGCACATCTGAAGACTACCCAGTCAATGGAACCTCATAACTTACTTCCTCTTGGATTCCAAATGACTTAGTCTAGGGCTGTGCTGTCAACAGAAACAGTATGTGAACCATTATTGTAATTTAAAATTTTCTATAGCCACATTAAAAAAGTAAAAAGAAACATGTCTAATTCATTTTAATATGTTTTATTTAACCCAATACAGATAAAAGATTATCATTTTGACATATCATCAATATAAACATTATTGAGATATTTTACAATTCTTTTTTATACTAAGTCTTTGAAGTCCAGTGTGTTTTTATACTTACAATATATCTCAATTAAGATGCTAAATTTTAACAGAAATAGGTGATCTATATTTAGATGACATAAAATTTATAATCGAAAAAATAGACATATATGCCCAAATTGTTCCAAACATACTTAAAAGTTTCCAATAATTGAGCTGAGAATCAGCTTTTAAATTTAAATTTAACTTTTAAAAAAGTAAGTAAAATGTAAAATTCAGTCTCAGTTGCACTAGAAGCACAGTTTAGGTGCTCAGTGACCATAAGTGTCTGGTTGCTACCATATTGGACAGCACAGGTCTGAAGGACAAAATGTAGTGATTACTGTAATGTATTTAATTAAATCAAGTGAGCTATTTGCTTTTCTTCTTCCTCACAGACATAATTAATCCTGATCTTCTTCCATGGTCTACAAATTCATTTTAAATAGGAAATGACTTTGACACAATAGAGTTAACACAGACATGCAATAGCTCATGCCTGTAATAAGGTATACAGCATAGACCATTTAAATTTCCACATATGACCCCAACTCACCAAGTTCTCTGTGTATTTGCATTGCTTCTGTTCAGGAATTCCACCTCCTCTCCTGGTCACACAGAATTCTTAAGATAGGTGCTGCCTACTCTTCACACAGCACATAAATAATTTTTAAACGCCCAAACACTTAAAAATGTTTTTTAGAGGATACTTTCAAGAAAGCCAAGAAATCCACTAAAAGGCAAGTTGGCATGGATCCTTGTACTTCTAAGATGATTCTTGATTTGGGCATATTAGAGTAGGTCCAAAAGGGTAAACCCATCATGGGATTCCCTGGAGAGACTGAGCCAATTTCAATATTGTTTTGATTTGATTTTGTTTTGTTTTGTTTTACTAGTGTAGGTTGTAGGCTGACACAAAAATGGGGTAAAGGACCCCCAATGAGCTACCTTCCATGTCACCCATGGAGTGTGTTCTAACTTCCAAGACACTCCCAGAACTGACCTCATCTCCCAGGAGAACTCTGACCCACAGTAATGAGTGGCAACATTTCAGGCTACTGTAAACCAGAGAGGATAACTATGGTCTGTGCAGGACTCTCTTGGAAGAATCCTGATTTGGGCATTCTCCTGGAATTAAACCATCATTCAGGAATTGGGGTAATAGGCATGGAGGAGGGGCTGGGGAAATACTGCAAGGAACAAAGAGAGTTTTTCATTAGGTTACTGATTTGAAGTTAAATACTGGGCTTGGAAGAAAGTGCTTGACTCAGATTTTCTTTTTGTTTGTTACTGGAGAAAAGTTGTTTTGAATATAGATTCTACGGCAAAGTACCTGAATAATTTTTTAAAAAAGCTTTTGTTTTCATATATCCTTTTATTTGTTCCTGTATTCTACCTTATGACATTTAAATACCTTTCTAATGTTCTGCAAGGCAAATAGTGAAGCCGAATTGCTCTTGAGAGGTTTAGGCATATATTACTTGCTTTGCTTACAGCAAAATATACAAATTCCTTGCAAAGATCTTTCACTCGGAGGCTTAAAAGTCAAAGTTTGAAAGCTCTTTTGTTTGAAAAAGGGTCAAAAATAATTAAGTTCATTCCCTTCCTGGGGCTTAAGCCAAATTCCTGGGGATTAAGCTTAGAGTTGTTCAGCCTAATGGGAGAAAGGCAAACTTTCCTCCCTTCCCCCACTTCCTGCTCCATTTCTCTGTTGACTGACCAACCCAAGGGTGTAACCTTTCATCTTTATTCTGTTAGTTTCCCAGACTCCTGTATGTTTTTCCTTTGTAGCCCTACTTCCTGGACCTCATGAGAAAAAAGGGATCTTGAAATTTCTAGCTGGGTCTCTTCCCACCCCATCAAAGTCCCTTATCATCGCTGCCTGCCATATAGACACACACTTTGTCAAAGGAATGCCTGGGTGCCATGTATTCAGAATTTCCAATGATAAATACCAAAGAAGACTCAAATGTTAGTCCATGTAAATTTCAATTTTTGGCCAGTTAAAATTTAGATTTAGAAATCCTAATTTTAATTTAAAAGCCAATTAAAAATTCTAATCATCAATACCAGGCTTCCTTGTTAATGACTGCAAATTAATTAATTGTTCAGTGATTTCTTAGGTCCTCTTACACATTTGTTAAAGAATCCAGGCCTTTGAAAATATCTTTTGGGAGTGTCTGGAGATTGTTGTTTGCAAGGCTCCTGGAAAAAAAAAAAAAGGTGATGTAAACTATAGTGATAAATTAAATAAAGGCATTTAATGATAAAGCTTAGTTATTAGTCTCTTTTGTCATTTCTAGCCTACTAAATGGCTTGTGGTCCTTTTTTTCTTCTGAAATACTACTCAGATTCCTGCTGTTGTCTTTTCAGTTCCTAACCTGTTCACTTCAATATCCACTCAGTATTTATATAATTTATATGTTTATTTTTATTTTGAGACAGAGCCTTGCTCTGTCACCAGGCTGGAGTGAAGTGGTGTGACCTTGGCTCACTGCAACCTCTACCTCCCGGGTTCAAGCGATTTTCCTGCCTCAGCCTACATAGCTTGGATTGCAGGCACCTGCCACCATACCTGGCTAGTTTTTGTATTTTAAATAGAGACAGAGTTTCACCATGTTGGCCAGGCTGGTCTCAAACTCCTAAGCTTCAGTGATCCACCTGCCTCCGCCTCCCAAAATGCTGGGATTACAGGCCCATTCAATATTTAAACAACACTTGAGTTGGTTAAAAACAATTCCTGGGCATTGATCTTTTCATTTAGAACAGAACACAGGAGATTCATACTCTCAGATATTCAGTCTAGGGGATATCTCCCAAATGATGACTGACTGAACTGGTGACGGTGTCCATCTCCAAATGCCCCCTCTCCTCCAGCCTGGGCTGCTGCTCCTTCTCCCTGCTTCCTCCTCCCTTGCTCCAGAGAGCAGCCAAACCTCCAACCCACAGTGCCAATAGCTCTATCCCTTCCCCAGTACATCCTTTCTCCTTTTCAAAGCCCACACCGCCTTTTCCTTTCTAGCTCCATTCATTCCACCTCAGAAAAAAGTTTTCTCAAAAATACCTATTCATCTATTCTCTTTAATCATCTCCCTTTTTCTCCTTCTTCTGGTTCTTTTCCTATGATCACAGGAATGATTTTCCCTTTCCCTTTCTATTTGTTCTTCCGTAAATCACTAGAATGATTCTAATCAAGGTTAATGAGTAGACAATAGTCCTGATAATGTCAAGGAAAGGGAAATGTGTCCCTAGTACGTAGATACAGACATAGCACAGAGCTAATGCTATATGACCAGGGAAGGGTACCAGGTACTGTAATTTTCTATTTTTAACCAGCACCACATATATACACATGTTATAAACTTTTCTTAGAGGTGGTTTTTTTCCACAATAAAAATAAAAAACTAAACTAAAACCACAGAGCCCATCCCATTGGCCTCTAAACCCTTGAAAATTCTCTTGACTTCCCTTTACAACATTCTCAAAAGTCTTCTGTGTCTTCTACCTCCACCAATTCAACATAAGATTTCTCAAGTACAAACATTCAAGACTTTTAGAACTTATTTTTAAGTTAGTTATGTCGTTGTTCTGGGATTTAGAAATTACTGCTAGATTGGAAAATGGTTTTCAATGAGCCTTGGAATGTAAGAATAGGAACTGAATGAAAGTTCCATTCTCAATGGCGATCCACTGGTGACAAAGAACTTTTGGAGTGATTCTGAACTAGGTTTAAATCCTGACTCCAGCATTTACTGGCTGTGTGACTTTGGCGATGGATCTTCTTGGAAATTCAGTTGTTTCATTTTTAAGTGAAGGTAATAATACCTTATCTCATAAGATTATTGGAAAAATAAAATGAGATAATCAAGAATGGTGCAGGCATCTGGACTACTCTCAGTAGAGTAGCTGGGGTCGGAAGAGGAGAAGGGCTTCTGTATGTACATTGTCCAAGAAACAATGTTTAGAAACAGACCACACGAATGCACTGCTATGGCTGTCCACATACAGTAAAATTAATCAAATGCGGCTAAGGAAGACTATGCATGAGAACATCTCCATAATTCATCTTACTGACTGGTGTTTGAATGAAGAGATTTCCTGATGTCCTGGACCAGTCCAGAGTCACTCCCATGTTATGTGTCTCAGTTTATTTTCTAGTACAATGTGGCTTAAAGTTCTCATACTAACTTCTAAGTGAATGTCCCATCCTCTGAAGCTGGCAAAAACGCAACTGGTTGCAGGGCATACATTTAGAGGAGGCTGAGTCACAGGACAGTGGAGACAGTGGGCATGCAATGATTAAGCAGTCACATCCTGAATTACTACTGTCAATAGGGCTACACAGGAAAAGGAACCATGCTTGTCTTACTGTCCAAGGGGAATTCCTTTTATGTTGGGACAGGATCTCACTTTGCTGCCCAGGCTGAAATATAGTGGTGTGATCACAGCTCACTGCAGCCTCAACCTCCCTGGCTCAAGTGATCCTCTGGGCTCAGCCTCTCCAGTAGCTGGGACCACAGGTGTGTGCCACCACATCCAACTAATTTTTTTTTAAATTTGTAGAGACAGGGTCTTGCTATGTTGCCCAAGCTGGTCTTGAACTCTTGGGTTCAAGTGATCCTCATGCTTCTGCCTCCCAACATGCTGGGATGACAGGTGTGAGCCACTGTACCCTGCGGGATTCTTTTAAGCAATGGATGAATCTGGAAGTTCTACATCTTGCCCAAATGAGTAGAGCTTTAGGCTTCTCATGATCCACATACAAGCTACCCACAGAACACATGGCCAAAGCGAGATGCAGACTGGGAGCTACGGGGCTTCAGAATGGAGAGGTGGTATTTTTGCATGACAAGATGAAGGACTTCTAAGCCATCAGAACTGGGAGATGGGGCTGAGAAAGACAAGCTGGCCCAATGGGCTGTGGAATGAGGCATTACATTTCCTGAGAACTTGTGACAGAGGCTCTTTCCTTGGGAACCAGGGGGTTGAGGAGGCAGAGGAGCCAGAGGGAGAAATGGTGGGTGGATCCACTGAACCCAGTGTCACTCTTTGCTGCTCTGCTACCAAAAATTCAGTGAAATCCTTGCCCACAATGGACTGCTTTTAGAGGAGATAGGCTGGAGCTTCATGTCTAGGTTTGGTGAATGATGGGCATGAGAAGGCTGCCAGGACGCACTAGGAGAATCAAGAGGAAGTAAGATTCAGAAATGAGAGTGAGGCTTCCAGACACCCAAAGCCGGGGAGCTGGAGTTCAAACAGCTTTCCTACGTCTCTGGGAGGCCCCAGTGACATCAGGTTACATTTGGATAAAAAGAAAGCAGGCAGAGGGACTTGGGCAGAGAATGACTTGGGAAGGCAATGCTGACAGAGCCTCAGAATTATTCTGCAAAAAATGTAACAGGTTGGCTGGGCGCAGTGGTTCACGCTTGTAATCCCGGCACTCTGAGAGGCAGAGGCGGGTAGATCACCTGAGGTCAGGAGTTTGAGACCAGCCTGGGCAACATGGCAAAATCCTGTCTCTGCAAAAAATACAAAATGTAGCTGGGTGTGGTGGTGTGTGCCTGTGTTCCCAGCTACTCTGGGAGGCTGAGGTGGGAGGATGGCCTCAACCCAGAACTTGAGGCTGCAGTGAGCCATGATCGCACCGCTGCACTTCAGCCTGGGCGGCAGAGTGAGACCCTGTTTCAAAAAAGAAAAAAAGAGACATAAGGGATTGTGTAAATAAATGATGGTCCATATGTAACATGGAATATTTTACAGGAGATTTTTTAAATGAGGTAGTTCTCTATGATTTAATATGAAGTGATACCTAAGTGTAGAGTGAGTGTCATCTTTTTAGAGCAGGAAAAACAGATGTCTGTAGATACACAGAGAAAACGCTATCAGGAGATACAAAATCTGTTGACTGAGGTTGTAGCTTGGTATCGGGTTATGGAATCTTTCACTTTTCTGTGTAAATACATATTTATGTTGTGAGTTTTTACCATCAAGTATGTATTATTACTTTATAATCAGAAGAAACAAAGAATAAATTTGACTTTTTGAAAGGATCCTGTTGCTTAGAATTCGTACATATATATGGTTCTGTCCGGTGAGGGTTCAGTCATTTGAAATCAATCATTTGGCTGCATTCATCAAGTTCCAAAGCTACCTACAAGCTTAGAGTAGGAATTACTGTCACGGCCCAAGGCCCAAACGCGGGGGCCTGAGTGGTTACGTCATGCAAATGTCTTTCACAAGACGTCCTGCAGGAGGGAGCTGCCTGTTTCCTAAAATATTCCCATGCGGTTTCAGGCCCTTACCCTCTAGGGAGCTTTGGGGCTACAGGTAAGCCCAGGCTTGAAGCCACCACAGCGGTTCTTTGTGCCAGCTGTGTTGAAGGCCTGTTGCCTCCACAAATCATCATAGGCATCTGAGGGCTTAAGGGAGATTCACTGCAGGGGAGAGCTGCTGAGGGCACTGGGGCCAGGGACACCAGGAAGAAAAAGGGGCGTCATGCGACGTTCCCTGAAGCCTCCTCAGCATTTAGTCATGACAAAAGGGTAAATAGGGCTGGGCATGATGGCTCAGGTGGATCACCTGAGGTCAGGAGTTCAAGACTAGCCTGACCAACATAGTGAAACCTGGTCTCTACTAAAAATACAAAAAATTAGCCAGGCATGGTGGTGGGCGCCTTAATCCCAGCTACTCAGGAGGCTGAGGCAGGAGAATCGCTTGAACCCGGGAGGCAGTTGTTGCAGTGAGCTGAGATTGCACCGCTGCAGTCCAGCCTGGGCAACAAGAATGAAACTTCATCACACACACACATGCACAAAAGGTAAATCGAATGATGAGATCTGGTGTCTATCAGGGAATTTAAACAGCTAGAGAGACTGAGACAGCACTTTGTGGGTTAGGGGTCAGGGTTATTTTGGGGTTGATATTAGGATTATTTGATTCTTCAGATTCCACCCCTGCATTCAGTTTCGCTACCAGAAAGCAAAATCCCTGGATAAAAATTTCACAGTTCTGCCTTCCCTCCATCCCACTCCCAGCTTCACAGAGTCATGACTTAATATTATTATGAACTTTTCTTCAACAGAAGCTCTAGTTGCTATATATATATGCTATATATTTGTAAAACTGGTTGTAGCTGTTCTTTCCTGTATCGCTTGGAGTAGTGTAGGGGTGTAAATGCCAACTTCATCCAAGTACACCAGGGATTA